ACAAGACATCGCCAAGATGCATTTATTACAAAATCACATCTTGGGCATTTAGCATCAAATCACTTAATTTCCTGTCTCACACCAAAGGACTTTGTATAGGAATATAAGGGAGAGAAATCCCCTGCACACAGATGCATTTCTGACCATGAATGGCATACAAGAGAAATTGCTCAACAAAGAAAATCTGTCACCTGTTCAACTTGTTTAAATCTCTGATAGGTAAAATAGAAGGACAGTCTTCTAATGCGTCTTCGTTTTTCTGGTCCTTGAATATTTGCCAAAACTTGAAAGCTATGGTAATGTACAATCCAAAATAAGCACCTTAGAATAGTATTTTAATTCTATGGAAGAAACTTTTCCTTTAAAAAGGAATATTATCTTCCCCATCATCTTGGAGTCCACTGAAAAATCTGCTTTGGCTTTCAGGAAGCTTTTCATTCAGCTATGTATTAAGGGAATAATCAATGTAAATTACTTCTTTTATAAATAAAGAGTAATAATATAATATAAATAGAGAGTAAATATTACTCTTTAACTTGTCTGAAACATTCAAGAAATAATGCATCTCTATGAATCTCATAATTGGTAGTAACCTTTGCTCTCTAAATAATTATAATATTATAGAAATAATTATCTCTAAAAAAACATTTTTAGAATTTCAATTGGTTTTAATCTTCCTGGTCTTGTACTCTTTGGGTTTTCATTTCATTTTCTATTTTAGTGTGAAAGACACCTCTTAAGTAAAAATACAAAATACGTTAATAAACGTTATTTTAGAAGGGTGAAAAATACACAACTACATACTGTGATTATTACAAAAATAAATTACAAAATCTGCAACTGGCCTCACTTTTCAAATTTTTATATTCCATGGATGAAATCTTGCATCTGTGGAAAGTAAGGCTGTCTGTTCTTTTATAATCAAAAGTATACTCCTTCCTGCTCACCACAGACCATTTTATAGTCAGTTGGTCAAATAATTCAGCACATCTGTTCCGACACTTACCTACTGAATTTTGATTCTTCAGTCATTTTAGATGTTTGGCAACATTAAATCTAATAATAGAATGACAGAATGTGTTATGACTTAATTTCTACATTTCCATTTCTACCTTTTTTCCAGCTACAGTTTGAACTACATTTTGAAAAGTACATGTTAAATGTACTAAATTTTGAAAAGTAATCTGCAGAGAACTGCAAAACCAGAATATGAGGCTATTTGTTTACAGAAAAAAAATTGGCTTCATCCCACATCTGCTATAACTAAGTCTGCACAATCAGCACAGATATGATTATTTAAGAAATAGAATATGCTAAAGTCAAGGAAACTTTAGATGCTTAAGAAATGCATGGGCCAATTCAAATTTTGTTTGCATCGCTACACAAAACTAATGTATATATACCCTTGATCTTTGAAAACAAGTTTTTATTTTAGTCTAGTCTAAAAAGACATAAATGGTAAGAATGAAGTATATATTCAGTCACATTAAAATGAAAAAAGCCACTAGACTTTGCTACAGCTAAATGGCTGCATGTAAAGGGAAAATTACTCTTCGGTACATAAAATGGTTGTGGTAAAGGGAAAATTACTCTTTGGTACGTAAACTGACAAGTTGTATTTAAATCTGTATCTGGAATTCTCTTTTAAAAATATTCAGTATACTTGGATGTAATTCATAAATGGAACTGCACTTTTGTTTTATCTCTGAGCTTGCAAAACAATCAGTATTCAAAAAAAGAAATGATCTCACTTATTCCTTAAAGGCATTCAGGTCAGAGATAAAGCACAATACAACTAAATAAATGTTTCAGCATTTAAAACAATAAGGCAGATTTTGTAAGAAAAATGCCCAGCTTTTGACTTTGGCCTCTCTCTGAAAAACAAACACTGAAAACCCTTCTAGACCCAGAAGCTTCCAATGCTTTTACATGGAACTGCTGATGACTTTGAAAACTGCCAGTTGCGTGTCTGCATTGACTCAGAAGTAAATAAAACAACATAATTACTCGAACAGCACATTTCCATCCTTGAATTCAGTTTGAACTTTGTGATTTGTTACACTACTTTGATTTGATATCCCTTGTAGAGCTGGTAAGTTATGCTTCTGCTGCAGCTCTCCATTATTCTGAATGCACAAACACAAATTCCAGGGTTCTCCACCCGCTCTTACAAAGAGAAATCTTAGTCTGAAGCAGCACTTCAGGCTGTTAATATTCTAACGCATAGTATTCAAACTGTGATCCATGAAGACTCAGTTGACCAACAGTGCAGATCAAACATCTCCTTGGCTTGACTAAGGAAAGCTGAGTATACATTAATGGCAATTAGCAAACTTTTAAGAATTTGAGGAATATCATGTGGCTATTGCCTGATGGTGGCCAAGGTAAAAAGAGACATTTTTTATGATAGGAGATGGCATTTATTTTTGAAATGTCTGAAAACCAGCACTATAAACACTTCTAAGAACACAACTACAGTACAGCAAAATAACAGTGCTGAGTAACCAAATTAGGATCTCAGCTATCTTTCTGTCTCTGCCTCTAACAATTGCCTAGAAATATGACAGTTTTTGACAAGAACTCCAATAAGTGTTCAGAAATGAAGAGGACTTAGACATCAAACAGCTCAAAGTAATAAAGTTACTTTAGGAAACTTTGTACAGATCTTAACAAGAAAAGGAGACCATCATATAGAAAAGGATTCTTGCCTGCAGGTCAGCAATATTGCAGCTGCAAAGGAATTCTTATTTTATGGGATAGATTTTGAGGGCTTTGGCACAGCAAGCACCTTCAAGTCTATGTGAACAGGTGATCCATAAATTTGTAAATACTTTTAAATACCCATGCTGGTTTTTCTTTTTTTATTTTTTTGTCATAACATTACTTTCCCCAACTTTTTCAGTAAATTCGTACTAAACACCTTTCAGAAAACTTTCTACAAAGAGATTAAAATGGATTCAATATATGCTTAAGAACAAAACACTTTCTTACTCAACTGATGAGCATTTAAAAAACAGGCTTCGCTGCCTTACCGTGAAACAACTTAACTCCAGAGAGTTTCATCATGATCTCATATTTGTCTTTTCTTTTATGTTTTGGCCAGTAAAGCACGTTAACGCCAAACAGTATTTGCAAAATTTTTTCCTATGATAATAAGAGTCAGAAGATCAAAGTGGGACTTAAAAGTAGTACTATTGCTAATAGTTATACCCTTAAGGTGTGCTACAAAGGCTGTCATACACAGAGTTATTTTACTGTTGGAGTTTACCATTGGTGGGCATAACAAACCCAACCCTCTGTTACACTTTTTTTACAGACATTAAAAATAAAAATTAGAACCTTATCCAAAGACTCTCTCAAATAAAGATAGCTGAATTCCCGGATAAAGCATGTTCATGACTGAAAAATTCTGAAAAAAAAAAAAAAAGGGTACTTAATTTTGAAGAACATCATGCAGCTACTAGTTTGCATTAGGTGTAAAATTTCATAGATTAAATCCTAAGGGTATCAATAATTTGCCTCCTACATACACAATTTCTTCACACACTCATATTCATTAGTGTTCCTCTATAATGACAAGTAGTTTTCACCAAAAGCTCTGCTTTCACAGCAAAATTAATGGTTTCAGTGTATCCGAACGTAATCCACCATACAAATTGTAAGTGAAAACAGATATAAGGTAGTAATTTGTTTTCCCACCTTTCAGATACAGCTTGATGTAAGATTTTTATATTTGGAAAATTTTGCTGACTAACCATTAACTGTACATTTAGGTATTTTCATATGTTTTAGCCTTTTATTTTTGTAAATATAACTTAAGACAATTGAATTGTTGGTTAAAATGAACAGCAAAGATGGACTCAGATGCTGGGTCTACCAATATCAACAGCAAAACTTCCAAAAACTTTCACTGAAAATTTTGAGGGTTCAGATTAGCAATAGGGTTACCTATTTCCAATCAATTTTCATATCAAAGTTCTAAAGAAAAGCACTGTTAAGTCAAATCCTCTAAACATTCTGTTCAAATACAAGTATATTCAGAAATACATTTTAAAATCTTCAGCTCTTGGATACAAAGGTGTACAATGTACAGTGCATCCTGAAAAGGAAACTAAAAATTACCGTTTTACTTATTAAAAACTTCACTTTTCATAGTATTAGCAAAAAGTATTGTATTGAAATTGCATTCCTTTTCTAGCGGGCTTTATAATAAATATTTAATTATTCATGAGATAACTTCAGAATAAATACCATTTTTATTTAACAGCTGAAAGTGCAGACATCATATATAGCTTAGTCCACACCACTGTTACTCAATGATTCATCTTCTATATAACAAGACTACAGCAGGAAATGCCACCAGGTCTTAATTTAATTCTGTGGCTGAACACTATGACTGATCAACTAGGTCTTGTGCAGCAGGCATAGCAACAGAATTGTCCTAGAAAGCTGAATATCTGGTCTATATGAATGTGCTTTTGGGACTAAGAAGCCATATTTCCAGTGAACATTTGACTTTTTTACTGCAAGTATCCATACCAGTTCCATTCTTTCTGTTTACATTTCATCCCATACCATACAGTTCCCCTTCACCTTTCTTTATGGCATAGGTCATGAGTATAACTGTATTTAAATAAAGGAACTTGCTGGTTTGGACACATCAATATCATGCCCATGTCTAGTCAAATCAGCAGTAATATGGTAACCCTATCTGACAGCAAAGGCGCACTAGACTGGTATAGGAGAGAACTTCAGTTTTACTTTATTTTATTTATTCTATTAAGAAAAAGTCTAGGAATAGGCACTGATAGCTGTTGCCTGTTATTTAAAGTTTCCTGTAATCAAGCACAATGAAATTCATCCATGTTATAAACCAAATTATCTTCTCAATCAGGCATGCGTTCAACTATAAAAAGTAATCTAACAAACATGTAAATAGTGGACTGTATAAGCCATATAAGGCTTTGCTTCCTTCAATGGTCTTTTAAGTTACTTATTACATTCCTGAAATGGTGGCTTTGACTTGTTGCTTGCAGGTGCTGATTCAGACTGTGATGGCTCTGAATCTGCAATAAAAAAAGGATTAAAGTTCTTAGGATAGCTTCAACAATAAGAACAAAAGAGTCAACTAAAAATTTAGTTTCTCATTCACGTCAACATGCATACAAATTCCAGTACTATTAATTTTTAACTAACAAGATAAACAAGCTACCTGCAAAGTTTGCAGTATGATGCAAATCTGTAACCCAACACAACTGGATTATATATTTACATATGGAATGGGTTATATCTCCTCCCTGATGTGTCTTGGACTTATTCTGTGCAACAGATAACAGAGAAAGCTCCATCTCAAAAGGGAACTGGAAAGTGCTGATGCTGCCAATTGCTTTGGATGAGCAGACCAAAGTACCCAAGTGGGAAGAAAATACAAAGCACTACCTTCAGTGCATAACTGAAAGAATGAAAAGGATGTCAAAACTGAATCAAGGTACATGTCTGGATGAAAAAATACTGTTAAGAGCATTTTAAAAATCTCCTTGTACACCGAGATGCAGAATTGACAAAGGAGGCAATGCAAGCAAAGGAGGTGTTACGTTGCCTAAGAATTTGTGGGGGGGAAAAAAGGGCATCTCAAAAATAAGATGTATCTCTATGTCAAACTATGCAGCATACTGACTTTCCAGCATACCCATCATTTTGTTCTCTATGCCTAAGTGGTACAACAAAACCAATATCATGATTACTCTGAAAAATCTTCAGCATTCTTTATACCCCAAATGTCTCATTAGAGGCACATTTCACATTAAAGAAGTCAGCTATCAACAAATGAATGAATTTGAGGTTTCGAAAATCCCAAATCCTTTTATTTTATTCACAAATGAAAAGAAAAATGTTGGTGCAAAGGAAAGTTAAATAGAATCTAAATATAAATGAATATTGAAGGTTTTCCTTCCTGCTAACGAAGAGCACTTTTAGGCTCCCGGTTGAACTGTTAGGTCATAGCACCTCCCAAGGCAGCATCCTCTGCATGATCAGAGTTTGGATACTTAAGTTGATTTTGAAGACTGACTTCTCAGGTTATGCACCCTCTTCTGAATAATAACACACAACTTCTAGTTTTCTGTTTGCCTGTTTTCTTCTGAGACTCACCTGGAGGAAGAGGTTCTGCACACCCAAAAAAATATTACTGTAGATACATTAATGGAAAACACGAAGATGAATTCAAGAAGTGCTAAAGAAACTAAACTATCTGGCTTCTAAGACTTCCACACATTGATATATCAAGGCCAAGGGAGGCATGGCGACCCCCAGTGTATACACAAGCATCCCCTAATACAAGAAAAAAAAAATTATGGAGCTTGTAATGTGTACGTTCAATAGCATTTTAAAAGGTTGCTACAGAAAACTGATACACCCACTATGGTTACCAAGCCACCATAAAAAGCCTAAGCAAAATGTCTTTGACAGAAGGGGAATTTAACCTTTACATCTGTTTTCAAGTGATGCATTTCATAGCTATTACCATTATGCATGAAAATTTGAAACCATAGGTAAACATTGGATAACTCTTCTTCTCTCTAATAAAACTGTTGCAACTCACCATCTTTAACGATGCACTTTTTTTTGACAAATTTTTATGAAAAAGATCTATTTCTTAAACCCAAGTATTGATGACATTTGTCACAGAAGTTTCAGAAAAAATATTAGGAGCTAAAGGCTACTCACAACAAATAGGCAACAGATACTTTATGTTCTGTTTAAATTTAGGCAGGACGGCTGTGTCTCTTCAGCATTTTACAAAAACACGTCACACAGAAGCCCTTGGATCAGAACAGAGCATACTTCCGCATTTGTAAAGATGAAAAAAATCTATGACAGCCCCTGCCTTCACTGACTACAAACAGGATCACTGTTTTCTTTATCTGGTCATACAGCATTGTGAGCTAAGCATGGTAATTCAGTAAGTCTCACCATATTCAAAGAGAGCCACACAAATTATTCAGGCTATCCTCTGCTGTTACCTTGAGATCCCGACTCACTTTAAAAGAAACAGCTTTCAATGACTTTACCTTTGGACTGCTCACTATTTTCTGGCGTTTCTTGAATCTTTTTTTCCCATCCAGTACACTGCTGAAACCACTCAGTCCCATAACCATTGCTAATTGATTTGCTAAAGTTTACTGCTTCACTTTTTCTCTGAGCAGGTCTGTAAGTCCAAATATATTAAGGAAAACAATAACATAACTAAACAAAAATGGGGATTAGGTTGTAAAATTTTATTTTGTACAGAAAGGGCAATAGCCTTACAACATAATTTATTTCTAGGTAACTAAACATACATTCTACATGTACTACTAAACATATATTCTGTATCTAGCAAAAAAAAAAAACCAAAACACCAAAACCCCCAAAAAACAAAGCACACAACTACGCGTGATTCAGTAAGATGTAATTTTACACGAGAAGAGCCATCCTTTTTATTGGAATTTAACATGTGTAATACTTAAGCAGTTCTGGTCTTAGAGATAGAAAAGGGAAATGACACAAAGAATGAGTAAGTAAAAAAGACTGACAATACTCACACTGTGCAGCACGAAGGCGAGATTTTGTCACAGATTTACTCATAAGTTCATTAGTTTAATCACTTATTTTGCATCATTCACATATTTCTAAAACATAGGGGGATTACTGATGATGGTAATAAATTTTTAAGACAAAGTATGCAGAAACAATTACTTTGTGCACACAGCTGGTGATGTGATTACATCACAGTTGATATAATAATTTGCTTAAAAGACTATTGCCTTCCTTGAGTTCATGGCTACAGTTTTATGTGTTTTCTTAAAATGGTAGTCCTACTTGTGTCTCTGCAACCTATGCTTACAGAACAATGTACATTAGAGTTTGCATCTGTTCACGGTATTGAGGAGGAAAAAGACAATTCAGAATACAATAAAAGTGTGCTACATGAAGACATACAACTGTATGCTTAGTTTTCCTAAAGCAAAGTTATATTGAATAGCGTTCCTATATAAGTTAAAGCGCTATTATTTTAGTTTTTGTAAAATTTTTTTAGTATCACGCATGGTAGCAAGTTTAGTACCAGTAAGGATGCGCAAGTCCATACACATATGCACTAATCTCTGCAATTTCACAAGGAGTAATATTACTTGCATGCACAAATAGTTGCAGGCTTAGGAGTTTAATGAATTTCATAAGCATACTACTCACATAGGTGGGAAGGAGAGCTTATTTTTCCCACTAAATTCCTTCTTTGTAGAAACATTTGTCATTCTGCCTGTATATTTAGGGTTTATAGCTGGGAGCTTTACCTGTGTTAGAGAAATTTTAACTTAGTAAAAGGAATTATGATCAAAATAACCGAGAAGATTATATGATAATATGAATTTCCAAAGTGAAGGTAACATTAATGTCCCTAAATGTCTTCAAATTTTACTATCTATTTTATTTTCATAAGTAAGAGTAGAGGAGTATAAAGGAATAACAAAAGATAAAGCAATACCTTAGTTAGTTATTCTAGATGAGATCAGCTGTTTGTTCAGTATATCAAGAATGCAAAATGTGCTGTCCACAAGCTTTTCCCTTAGAGTACACTTCTACACAAAGTTAAGCTTCAGATTCAAACTTACCCATCACAACCTCTCATCTTGGCTCATTCCTCTGTATGCAGTGCATGAAAACATCCCAGTCTTACTAAAGTCAGTGGGACTAGAAGTTAATTTCCAGTTTATTTATTACCTTTTTTTATAAAAAGCATAAAACTTCCCACATAATAAGAAAACAGCTGTGGTTCATTAATTAGACATTTGAGATTGAAACAAGTACAGATACATTGGGGGAAGCCTACAAGAGGAAAGTGTATTTTTATTATCTTTCATTGGATGACAGGTAAAGAAAGGTGTTTAAAGAAAGACAGAAAGATAAAATGACTTCTAGAAAGCCAGTGAAATGACATCACAACCTCTAGGACTGAAAGTTGGAAAACCTTTTAACTTTGATCAAAATCAACAGGTGCTGAAGGGTCAACTTACTTCCCTCACAAATGAAAGTATTAAATTAAATATCCCAAACAACTCCCAGGTATCTTTCACTAGTGGCTGCTAAGAAATTCTGACACTAAAGAAAAAAATGGAACATCTTTAAAGACTGTTTATGGCTTTCTTCATTGCATGAAGAAGAGAGGGGAAAAAAAAGTCCTGAATATAGCACAAAATGTTCAAAGCTTACTAACAAAGTTTTTGTGTTATACTAGTATAGCCATTTAATTAGAATATAGATATTATTTGATCATTTTCTCTTTCAAACATGCAACACAGGAGAGTGCCCCATAGGATAAGAGATACTACTTGCAGGTTATTTTAAAAAAATAAGGACAGGGTAACTAGAAGTGAAGTGTATTGCTCTGTAAATTTAAAAGTAAAGATACCTTTCACCTATGTGGATATACCTAGTTGAATACAGTTAACATAGAAAAAAAAAATATGAACAGAGTGCAAAAATTAGATGCATCATCAGCAGATGCACTTGGATTGCAGACATTACAAAACAACTCCCATGAAAACATCCGTAGGAGAAGATTCCAAAATAGATGTAAACACACCACAGACTTCTCCAGGAGCCTGTGCACATTTAGTATAGAAAGAGCAAAGAAAAGTGTAATAGCATTTAAATACATCTAATTAGTGAACTAATTAACAAGCCACCTGGGAGAAAGCAAAGCCTAGAACAGACAGTTCTACTAATTCTGAAACAGGCTGTCAATGCAAACCAACATGTTACGTCAGTGCTGAAATCCCTACAGACTTCAGTGGAGTCAGAGTTTCACCAGACGAATAATTCCAGAATCTGGTGAAAAATAAGTGGGTGGGCTACTAGCTTTCAGCCTGACTGATGTTATGTTGAAGCTTAAAGAGATGAAAAACTGAGACACTTGTCAAAGAAGAAGAGATTATACCAGCAAGAGCATGCAGTGATGTCAGAAGCAGTGATGTCAGATGAAGAGGGGGGTCTGTTGTCCAAACTGGAGGTTAGAAAACACTTGAGCTGTTTAGAACTGCTTTTCAAATCCATTAACACTATTCTCTGACGAAGCAGCCTATTTGTGCTTTATGTTTCAAAAATGCTATTCTGTTGTGCAAAGAATGATAGTGCTGTTTTCTACCACTAAACTGCACCATTTCAGATCTGACATACCATGGAAGTTTCAGATCGAGGACACAGTTACCTACAGTTTCAACTGACAAAACCAATTAAATTAGACAAGCAGAAATCATCAATCTCGGGTAACTTTCGTCACATACTGAAGACATGATGGCACACAGGGCAACACAAACACAATTTGATAGGCAGGATATACAAATAGTAGATGGAAAGCGATGGGAGTCTTCTCTTGGCACTGAAGACATGCATTAGAAAAGAAAGTTTAGTAATTAAAGAGTAAATTAAAGAGCAGGGGGAGAGGGGAATACTAGAAAGATTTTGTCTAGAGGTAGACAAAGGCACAAATGTCAAAACTAAAGTCAAGGAAAAAAAGTGAAAGGCAATGAGAAAAGACTTGAAGGCTGCTAGCAAGTCTCACAAACTCTTTTAAATGATGTCTTTCTTGGTATTAAAAGAGACAGGCTAGCTTAACGTGCAGGTATCAAAACACTCCCTAATGTTGGAATCAGCTACCAAGTTGCAAAAGGAGCAAAGGAACAGATCAGAATTCGGTTTTGGAGGGCACCTGCATTCTCATCAGATGCTTTTTGTTACCTTGCTGGGTAAATTCAGCATTAAAAGCAGACCCTTGTGCCACTACACCCCAATGGTTACAGCTGAAGAGGCATTTTCACTTTGACATGCCTGTATTTAAGAGCCATCAAGTTTCCCAGATAAAGCAAACTATGTAGGAAATTTTTTAGATGTTCTGAGTTTAAAGCTTTCTCTCTCTTTGTGAAGAGATGGCAACAACGTACCCTAAAAATTACTGCCTAAATTTATTATACATACACATTTATTAGTCTCAGATTCAAGAAACATGAAATGCGATATGTATTGTGCCTGACTGGTACATGAAGAACAACAGATACCTGCTGCCAGCATGGAAAGCTAAAAGCCCCTGGATGAGCTGGCTCTGCTGTGATCAAGGGAAAAATTCTAGATTATATTTCAAATCTTTCTCTGACACAAAATCCTGACCTCAGATGACTAATCCTTTTGCTATAGCACATACATACATATGTAAGTATGTATATATATGTAAACATTTCAGGCAAGTGCCTGAAAGAGATGACTTCAGACACAAAGCAGTAATCTTAGTGGTGCTGCAGGAAGACTGCCTAATGCTGATACTAACCCTGTTCCATCTCCAGTTATCTCCCACCCATACACAGGCCTGCCTCTTTCTTAAGGTCATACACCATTTTCAACCCAACCTAGCTAGTCCATATGATACATAAGCAAAAGGATGCTTCCACCTGGGCTAGTAGTCCACCACTTTGCCATGTGCATGAAAGATTTAGCTTTTGTGCTCTAACACATCTTTGCTGCTTTGCAAAATTCCCAGAACAAGAATTATCCCCATGATTAAGGCATTAGGGAGGAACTACAGGATCCATCCCAAGGCATGGAGAACCATGCAATGGTCCTCCGATCTCCAATGCTCCTCTACGCAGTGACAGCCATAATATGAGGAACGGTGGAAATTCTAATACTTCGGAACAAAGTAGTGTAAAGGCTTAAAGCTCCAGAGCAAGGTCCCACTTGGGAACAATGTTTTCCAAATCGAGCAGAACAGGTACCCATAGAGGTTAAAATGTTTTTGCACTCATCCCTAAGGGAGCCCTTTGGGATTTATCTCCACAATTGCATCATGCATCTCTCTTCTGAACAACTGCTTAGTCAGACTGGATTGAAAAATATTTTCAATATGTTCAGCCTCAATAATTGAGGTAATCGGCTGCTGCAGTATCATCACTTAGTCAAACAAATAAATTGACTATTGCTTAGAAATTTGCCTGTGGTGTTTTGGAATACATCTCTTACATTTCAACATACAAGATGTACAGAGAGAGAACTAAAATCAAGACTGACTGGTGGGGCTAGTTCCATTGTCTCACTTCAAGACTCTTCAGGAAGGTACTCTTAGAGCATAGTATAAGAGGAGATACAAGAAATACCTGTGAAGGAAGCACCATGTGATGTTTCAAGATACGTGAGACACTTTTCAGGGTACAAGAAAGGTACAGTGAAGGATAACCATTTCAGAGATTGTGGTGTGGAGGTATAGCTAAAGCTAGAGACACTGAATCTGCCTTCTCAGGCACCTAATCTGAAAGAAAAAAATTTGGTAGATTTAGTACCTTAGACAAAACTCAACTTCAGCTTCCACAAGAGCAGTGTAAATTATCTATCAGGGCCTCAGCAGATTTGTAATCTGAGCTGAATATATAACATATATTCACTTTGTATTTGGTGATAAATAAAATACATGGGAACTTTCATTCACATGACTGAATTAAACTGGGTCTTGATCAAACTCCACCCAAACAGAACGGACCTCAGTCTCACTTTACCAGTCACCACATGGACTTGAATTATACTTGCGGTTATCAAAGTTAAATTTGACTCTTAGAGCAGTGAAGACAATTGGTTCTTAAGTAAAGGAGCGAGGGACAGCACTTCCTCTCCCTCCTGGTTCAATCGTTTAAGAAGTTCTCTGGCATGCTAAATTTCTACTTTCAGTGCCTTAAATCTCTGATTGAAAAAAAACTTCACCTACAAGCATCAGGCAAATTATAGTTTAAGCATACATGCTTGTCTGTTTCCACAGACTAAATAAACCTTCCCAAGCCTACTCAGAAATGAAGCGTTCCCATTTACACAAGCCATCATTCTGAATTTGCACTAGTTACTCACCTCAGCAAAGGCTAAGGACTTTTTTTCCTAAAATTTCTAACACCTGCCCCTCTGTTCAAGAAGAGAGGAACTGGTGTTCAAGTACATCAAATGCCTTTCCATGTATACTCTGAAGACCTACGGCAAATGAGGCAACCAAGATTACAGAGGATATTAAAAAAAAATAAGGCTTCAGCAACTAAAATGGACAGGGGCGGAGAAGATGAAACAGGGAAGATGGGAGAGAAGTTTCCAGGACAAAGCACCAAGAACATCACAGGAAAGTTTGTTCTAGGCATAGCTTGTGCTATATTTATTTTATATGGGATACATCTTCCATTCAGAGACAGTGCAGTCTCTTCAGGGACTTTCTTGCATTTTGAACTAAAACAAACTGCATTTTCGGAACAGTCTTCTGTTCTCTCCTCCTCCTTCTTTTTTCCTCCCCCAAGATGACTAAACAAGAATTCTGTTCACCAAGAGTGAATTAGAGGGGAAATAAAGCATAAAAAGACAGAAACTACCTACTAGCTTTCATTTACACTCAAGTATACACACTATATAATGTGATTAGAAACTACATTTCTGGTTCATATGCTATACCTGCAGCACTTATGAGAAATGTGGTCTTCTTCTCATTCTCTAACTTCAATGTAAAAATTGCTTCTGGAATACAGAAACTCTGGTGTGCTACAGCTTCCCTTCTATAAGAGCCCACAAGCCCAGCTAGAAAGTGTCTTCACAAGCTCTACAAACAAAGCATTGTCACAGAGCACCTCTCCATCATACCTTATTTTTCCCTGTGTTTTCTTCATCCTCAGCATCTTGCTGCCAAACACTTTTCATATCAAAATCAAAAGTCCCTCTTCTTCTCTCGTATCTGTTATCGTGATGGTCATCAGCCTTAAACTCTCTGTGAATCATATAATCTGGTAGAGAGGAAACACAGCTCCTGCAGGCAAAGATTTAACACTTGTTTGTACGAGGGATACCTATCTTGCACTTTACTATAAAAGTATTCTGAAACACTAACAGGTGGAGAGAGAATCCAAGAAGTTATGCTGGGTTTCAGCAGCCTTACCGTGGCTCATCGGTCACTGTGGGATTGGAGCAGTGTGAGTACCAGTCAGGCACAGCATACGCTGCTGGAGAGGACTTCATTGTCACAGGAGCACAGGGCTTCAGCAGGTCTTGAGAGAAAAAGACAAAAACCACTACTTTTCCAACTTCTTATCTGGTTGCAAAAGCATTTACCTTTGTTTTCAGGTTGCTGTTTTATCAGGAAGAAATACTTGCTTTATTCAGTACAGAGCATTTGTCTCCCTGGATAAAACGTACAGTCAGAACCTTGCAGCATTGCGTTCCACTTTTACCTTGTTTATCTTCCTCTAAATGCTTTGACATATTTCTACTGGCCTGTTAATTCATATTTTTGGATTTGTCACCCTGCTCTAAGCATGCATGCAAGGCATCTGCTCAAGTTCCTCAAGCTAGAGCAGAAAATGTACAGTATTGTAAGAAACTGAATGTCATCACAAAAAAAACACTTTACAAACCTCTACCAAGTTTTCTGATGATGCTTTTTTTGTGACATCATTTTCACCAGACTGCTACGTCAATAGCCCAAGCATAACTTCTAAAGACATCATTCAAATGCAGCTAAATCATCATCATCTACTTAAATCATATACAGTGCAAAACTATACATTTTGCTAAAAGGTACCTATACACAACAAACTGCAAGGGTGTCTTGACAAGGTGCCCTCTTATGTCACATTTTCAAGTGCTCACTTTTTCTATAGGTTAATTTCAAAACTCCAGAGGATTCTTCCGTAGTATCTACGTGCACTTTCCACCACCACACTCAAGCAAAGCTGAAGAAAACAAAGGAAAAACAAACAAGCAAGAAAGACACTCACCAGATCGGCCTCCTTGCTTTGCCAGCCTGACCCCAGCTGAATTGGTCTCTTTGATCCACTTCCTGCAGCACCCAGATGGCACTTCATGGGGAGCTTTTGCAAGGTCACTGGGACCAGGAATCCAGGATGTTGGAGGAAGTGTACTCTTTGAGGTTACTGACTTCCCTGGTTGTTTCTGTGGCATATGGTATTACTGTCCTGCAATAACAGAAAAGAAAATATTTATGGTAAAAGTTAACTGCTAGCATCCCTTTTTCAGCAACTAACAAATCGAGCCCACCTGAAACTTGAGCAACATGCTGCATTTCATCTTGGAGACAGAAGACCAGGCTTGCTTATGCTGGGAGACACAGTACATGCAACTTCTAGAGGATCAGATGCAACAAGGGAACACCTGGGTTTCAGTTTTGAAACAGCATTCAAGTTTTCAAATAAAGTGTTATAATACAGGGGATCGTGAATCTTCATGCAGAAGACTATTTCCAAGGACACCAAGAGCAGCAAGAGGCACAGAAGACAGCAGGAAATACTTAAGCCTTTTGTTTCCTTTCCTCTTCACACATTAACAAAAGCAAAGACAGTACCTGTCTGTTTGCAGGTCTTTATTTGTAAAACAACCAAACCCAATCCTCAAACTGCCCACCTCTCTGAATAATAAAAAAACCCCAACACCCTACCTCCTGATACAATTGTTTCTCAACTTCTAGCGAGCAAAGAGAAAATACAAATAAATCCTCGTTAGTGGGGAAATGAAGTGCCAGACAAGGAAAAAAAAAAAAAAAAAACAAAAAACAAAAAACAGTCCAAGACATTATGCCATGAAGTGTGCACAGGACACTTACTGAAGTGACTCCAAGTGCAGCAAATGCCGTTTCATAGGTGTAAGTAAACTATCTTAAGGCAGGCGTCCTACTAAGGGGCTCTTAAGTACTAGCTATGCTGTTTTTTCTTAACATGGGCAAGAAGAGTCCATCACGTTGACCAGTGTAAGGATACAGAAGAGCATGGCGGAGACTGTTGTAACAACACAAAGAAAAAGATCTGCATAAGGAAAAATGTGGTAACAGTTGGGCACAGGAGGGCTCTTTGCAACATTCAGAAAGATTGTTTCCTCTCCATCTCCAAGCAATGTAATAGATGCTATGAACTACCATACTGCAAATATACGACATCATGAACGGATAAAACAGCTACCTCCTTGATAGCCTGACTCTGAGGATTAAAACCAGCTAGTAGTGACATCCCCAAGTCTGGAGAAAGAGGCAAGCATTCATTTCTACAGGGAAACACTAAGGTTGTCCAAAAAAATGGACAGTTAAAACCAGCCAAAATTTATGATCAGAGTCCAGAGGAGCAAAAAATGGGAAAAAAAAGAAAAAAAAAAAAAACCAACACAAAGCACTTACTCTCCTTGGTATCAGGGGTAAAGAAACATTACACTGTTTTCTTTCACTTCACTAATTACTCGATCTAATTATCCCAAACGGTCTCCTCTTTTTTAATTTGCTGGGTTGCTACTGTCTGGCATCTCCACTGCACGTAATGTCTTAAAATTAGGGGGGGCTGGAAATTCCTTTAAAATGGATCAGCAATCCTAGATGAAGG